CGATAGTGTTGTCCCAAATGGACAGACATGCTCGCAAAATTCCGTGGTGTGTATGCTGTACCGACGTGAGAGGAAGGAAGAAACGCCAGACGTTTACCGTAGCCACACAAGAAGAGCCAAACCTTTTCGTATTCACATGGACCTGAACGGGATGGAAACTAAAGTGCCCAAGGAGTCGAAGAAGAGAGACGCACCCTCTCACCCTCGGAGATGCCCAGGCACACTCGTGCAACAGACCTCCCCGGTCAATGGTCTATCTATCTACTACTACAACAAAAAAAAGTATTACGTGCAAAACATGAGTACGCCCCCCCCCGCCCGAGACTTTTGGTCTCAAGCAGACCCCATTCCGTTGCCTCGGAATGAAAAGCGCAGCCATGGCTGACTCCGAACAGATACCGCTCAGTCGACGATATTACCACCAGCGTTTAGGCACAATAGATAGCGTAAGAAGTATTATAGTGATTTTTTCGCGCTCTGTGGACTGACCAAAAAGGAAAGTAAAAGCAAGGTCCCTCACTGGCATGTAGTCTATGCATGGTGGGTGGAGTTCAGAAGAGGTTGGCGTTGTACGCGTATGAGAATCCTGCGCAGACTTCACGATGCCCTGTATGGTCACCACCGAATGGTTGTTTATGTATGCACGTATGCACTGTGCAAAAGAAGATCGGGAGGAGGGGGGTTCGTTCCCAGCAGAGTGTATATCGATCTCCTTCTCTCCTTCGACTAACAGGTACCGGACTAACCAGGGGGGGGGAAACACGAGGAGACATGATGCTGACACCCCCCCCCCCCTCCATGTGGATGATGAGGTGCTTGTCTATGTAGTGTAAAGCGGATGACGATGCAAGGGCGTTCGTTTGTTCTTGAGACTGATGGCTGTGATTGCAGCTGGGTTTGGTGCTGCGCTCTATCTACCATGTGCTCTTCTCGTGGGGTACCCAACGGTCTTTTTGAGATAAATGCGGTCGCCAGCGTAGTTACAGTAGTGGTCCCGATAGAGTGGCACCCTGAATAGTGAAATGCCCTCAATAGTGGCATCAAAATCTCTTGTCACAATCTCAACCCGATATAGTGGTATTGTACCGCTATTGAGGACGGGGCCCTCAATAGTGGCATTTTGGGCATCTCACCCCGGCGAGGATGATGTTATTCTGGACAACCTCGTGTACCTGGAGGAGGAGACGGGAGCGGAGGCGAGGACACCACTTGACCGAGTGCGGAGGGCGGTATGGGGGGATGCTGTATGCCGATGATGCCGGCGTCGTATCGAGGTCTGCCGAAGGACTAGCGAGAATGATGACGGTCATCGTGGAGGTGTTCGTGGAGTTCGGGCTGACGGTATCGGAGAAGAAGACGGAGACGCTCCTGATGCGTGCAAAGGAGAAGCACACAACAACACCACCGCCCCCCCCGCCGCCACCGCTGATCATCGAGGCAGCAGGGCAGAGGTATGCCCAGACGCCTGAATTCCGGTTCCCAGGTGGCCTCGTCAACGAACATGGCGACCTCACCCGTGAGATCAATTACCGGAGCAGAACGGCGTGGGCATGCGTCAGGAGACATGGCCAGGAGCTCTTCGACAGGCCTAAAGCACCGTTCCGACTGAAGACTCGCCTGCTCCAGGCCGAGGCGATGGAGGCACTGCTGTACGGCTGCATGACATGGGCCCCACGTCAAGACCAATACCGGACGTTGGGGACGATACACCACCGACTGCTCCTGCGAATTATCGGTTACCAACGCAAGAAGGGCACCTACCGGCAGCTTTCCTACGCCCAGACCCTGAAGAGGGTAGGGTGCCAGAGCGTGGAAACCACTATCCGGCAACGGCGCCTGCTGTTCGGGGGAGCGCTGGTAAGGCAACCAGACGGACGACTCCCGAAACGGGTGATGCTTGGCGAACTGATGGGGGGGGAGGGCCCAGGCAGGGGGAAACCGGAGCAAAACTGGCAGATGTGCCTGAAGGACGACCTCAAGATGTTCGAAGCAGAGCACGGATCTACGGACGCCGAGTCATGCTTCTTCGGAGTCCCGGAAAAAACTTAGATGGAAGGAGCGAAGGTGGACCGGGGGGTACCGTGGCATACAGGGGTACTGCAGGGAGCTAAGAGGTTCATGGCCTCCTCGCACAAGAAGGAAGAGGAGGCTAGCTGACAACGAACGCTCAAACGAAACAAGAAGCCCGACAACAACACGGACACGGCAACAACCACGGGGGTGGGAGGGGTACAGCAGGCGGACGAGACGGCGAGGAAAGGCAGGAAACGCGAAGAGGCGGACCGAGTGGCGCGAAACACCGTGCCGAAATGAACCTATTGCTTGACTTGTCTCCCCCCCCCCCACAAGTTTGGTAAATTAAACAACAGCGAAAAAACGATCGCGATAATTGGGGATAGATGGTGGGCACAAGAGGCCCTAGAGGACGGGGATAAGATGTGCAAGAAATTTTTATGGAGTTTGTGGCAGAAACGTAAAGAGCTTCCAAATGTTGGTGGTGTCTCTAGTAGGTGTAGGAACGGTGCTCCGTCTCGAAAGGGACGCGTGGTCAATGGTCAAATGACTACGGCAAGCAACAAATGAGTACGCCCCCCCCCCCCCCCCCCCCCCCCCCCCCC